ACGAAGCAAGAGCAGTTGGTATTTTGCAAATGTTAAATTCTATGCTCTTTCAAAATGATATTAATAGCGGGGATGGCTGAGTAAGGAGAGCGTCAGACTATAGATTTGAAGGTCGAGTGTTCGATCCGTGCTAATCGCATGAGCTTTGTAATTTTTCACGATGGTCTCTCGCTCTCCCTGTAGATGGATTTGACCTATTCTCTTCTTGTTATATATAATAGTCGTTATATATAATAGTTTCACTATTAATCGGGCAATCGGCGGAGCACGACCAGTTGGTATTTTTTAAATGATAAATTCTATGCCCTTTCAAAAATATATTAATAATGGGGATAACTCATATGAGAGAGCATTAGACTGAAGATTTGAAGGTCGCGTTTTTGATCCACGCTCATAGCATGAACTTTGTAATTTTTTCACGTTGGTCTCTCGCTCTCCCTGTTAATGGATTTGGCCTATACTCTTCTTACTTGTTATATATAATAGTCGTTATATATAATAGTTTCGCTATTAATCAGACAATCAGTGGAACAAGACCAACTGATATTTTGTAACTGATAAATTCTATGTTTTTTCAAAAAGATATTAATAGCGGGGATTGCTAAGTTGGGAGATCGTTACACTAAAGTTTTAAAGGTCACATGTTCGATCCACGCTTACCGCATGAGCTTTGTAATTTTTTCATGTTGGTCTCTCGCTCTCCCTGTTAATGGAATTGGCCTATTCTCTTCTTATTGGTTATATATAATAGTCGTTATATAATAGTTCGCTATAATCGGACAATCGGCGGAGCAAGACCAGCTGGTATTTTTTAAATGATAAATTATATGTCCTTTCAAAAATATATTAATAATGGGGATAACTCATATAAGAGAGCATTAGACTGAAGATCTGAAGGTCGCGTGTTCGATCCACGCTCATAGCATGAACTTTGTAATTTTTTCACGTTGGTCTCTCGCTCTCCCTGTTAATGGATTTGGCATATACTCTTCTTACTTGTTATATATAATAGTCGTTATATATAATAGTTTCGCTATTAATCAGACAATCGGCGGAGCAAGACCAACATGTATTTTGTAAATGATAAATTCTATGTTCTTTCAAAAAGATATTAATAGCGGGGATAACTCAGTTGGGAGAGCGTCAGACTGAAGATTTGAAGGTCGCGTGTTCGATTCACGCTCACCGCATGAACTTTATAATTTTTTCACATTGGTCTCTCGCTCTTTCTGTTAATGGAATATGCCTATTCTGTTATTATTGGTTTTATAAAATAGTCGTTATATATAATAGTTCCACTCATAATCAGGCAATCGGCGGAGCAATAGCAGCTGGTATTTTGTAACTGATAAATTCTATGCTCTTTCAAAAAGATATTAATAGCGGGAATAGCTCAGTTGGGAGAGCTTCAGACTGAAGATTTGATGGGCGCATGTTCAATCCACGCTCACCGTATGAACTTTGTAATTTTTTCACGTTGGTCTCTTGCTCTCCCTGTAGATAGATTTGGCCTATACACTTCTTACGGGTTATATATAATAGTCGTTATATATAATAGTTTCGCTATTAATCAGGCAATCAGTGGAGCAAGACCAATAGGCTTTTTGTAACTGATAAATTCTATGCTATTTCAAAAAGATATTAATAGCGGAGATAGCACAGTTGGGAGAGCGTTGATTGAAGATCTGAAGATCGCATGTTTGATCCACGCTCACTGCATGAACTTTGTAATTTTTTCACGTTGGTCTCTCGCTTTCCCAGTTAATGGATTTGGCCTATACTCTTCTTACCAATTATATATAATAGTCGTTATATATAATAGTTTCACTATTAATCAGGCAATCAGTGGAGCAAGACCAACTGATATTTTGTAACTGATAAATTCTATGTTTTTTCAAAAGGATATTAATAGCGGGGATTGCTCAGTTGGGAGAATGTTAGACTGAAGATTTGAAGGTCACATGTTCGATCCACGCTTACTGCATGAGCTTTGTAATTTTTTTCATGTTGGTCTCTCACTCTCCCTGTTAATGGAATTAGTCTATTCTCTTCTTATTGGTTATATATAATAGTCATTATATATAATAGTTCAGCTATTAATCGGGCAATCGGCGGAGCAAGACTAGTTGATATTTTTTAAATGATAAATTCTATGCCCTTTCAAAAAATATATTAATATGGGGAAAATAATATGAGAGAGCATTAGACTGAAGATCTGAAGGTCGCATGTTCGATCCCGCTCATAGCATGAACTTTAATTTTTCACGTTGGTCTCTCGCTCTGTTAATGGATTGGCCTATACTCTTCTTACTTGTTATATAATAGTTTCGCTATTAATCAGACAATCGGCGGAGCAAGACCAACAGGTATTTTGTAAATGATAAATTCTATGTTCTTTCAAAAAATATTAATAGCGGGGATAACTTAGTTGGGAGAGTGTCAGACTGAAGATCTGAAGGTTGCGTGTTCGATTCATGCTCACCGCATGAACTTTATAATTTTTTCACGTTGGTCTCTCGCTCTCCCTGTTAATGGAATATGCTTATTCTGTTCTTACTGGTTATATAATAGTCGTTATATATAAGCTCCACTATTAATCAGGCAATCGACGAAGCAAGAGCAGTTTGTATTTTGTAAATGTTAAATTCTATGCTCTTTCAAAATGATATTAATAGCGGGGATGGCTCAGTTAGGAGAGCGTCAGACTATAGATTTGAAGGTCGAGTGTTCGATCCGTGCTAATCGCATGAGCTTTGTAATTTTTCACGATGGTCTCTCGCTCTCCATGTTAATGGATTTGGCCTATTCTCTTCTTGTTTATATAATAGTCGTTATATATAATAGTTCCGGTATTAACCAGGTAATTGGCGGAGCAAGACCATCTGTTATTTTGTAAATGATAAATTCTATGCTCTTTCAAAAAGATATTAATAGCGGGGATAACTCAGTTGGGAGAGCGTCAGACTGAAGATCTAAAGGTCGCGTGTTTTATTCGCGCTCACCGCATGAACTTTGTAATTTTTTCATGTTGGTCTCTCGCTCTCCCTGTTAATGGATTTGGCCTACTCTCTTCTTAGTGGTTATATATAATAATCGTTATATATAATAGTTCTGCTATTAGTTCTTCTATTAATCGTCGTTATATATAATAGTTTAATGATTTATTTTAACTAAAAAATAATTTAGGAATTTTAAAAAAAGTAATTTTGTTTAAGCCTTTAAATAATAATGTTTCCTTCCGCCTTCTATTTTTTCACTTTAACATGTGAGAGACCAAAAAGAGGTGGAAGAAAATAGCCTATACCCACAAAGAGATATAGAGCCCAACGAAAAAGAAAAAAAAAATGTAAAAACTTGCAGTAAGCATGGATGAAATACGTGACCTTCAGATCTTCAATCTAACAAACGGAGCTATCCCCACATTTTTTTTCTATTCATACATATCAAGTTTTTTAAAAGAAGATCTGGATATATATATATATATATATATATATATATATATATATATATATACACACACGTATATTGATTTTAAGGAAAATAAATTTTTAAAAGAAGGCTGTAAATATATTTAAAATTATAAAAAAAATCGATATTACTAAAATACTTTCAATGGCCATATGAGATTGATTGGATATAAAATCTTTTATTATCTAAGGTTTGATCCCACTATTATTAATTTAGGTGTACAAATTGTAAATTTAAATATTTTTAATATTATAAAACAAATGATAATAAAACTTATTATAAATATAAAGTTCAATATTGGATCACAGATCATATTTATTAAAATTTTAAAGTTTAGTTTAAAGCGTTATATTATTAAGATTTATTAATTGATCGAATAATTAAAAATGTTTATATTTTAATTTGTATGAGTTCAAGCGACATTTATTTTAAGAATATAATACAATTTCATTTGATAAAGAAATGTAATATCGTTGTGTAAAAATTGAATCTAAATTCAATAACTGAATTGGAATTTTTATCAAATTTAAAAAAAATTAGGAATTTTTTAAAGAAATTTTAGAATTTTTTATCAAATTTGGCCGACAGTAAAAATACTTGACTATATTATTTATAAATATTTTATTCGTTTGATTAAGTTCGACTTAATTTATAGTATGATACTTAGTATGGTCAGAAAATAATACGATACATTGTCCTTACTCTTGTAAATGGATTCTCCAAAACCGTTCTACTCTAATCTATATATATATATATATATATTATAGTTCGAATAATCCTTAACACACTTTTTTTTTCCAAACACAGAACTATAAGATACTATCGATTGCAATTTTGGAGCAATAAACAATCGGATTATGATCTCTGGGCTTCAAATGTTAGCTGATATTGTCCAGCTTCACCACCAGCAGAGACGAGCAATAATGAATTTGCTGTCTGCAAATTGTAGTTGCATTTGCAAAGTTTATTTATAGACTTTTTTCTTGCCATGTCTTGCTTTTCTTCGAGCAAACTCTTGGATCTTACGGTCATGCTCTTTTAGCATCTGATCCATGTTGCCAGACGGCGCGAGCAACGGACCCGATACGTACATTTTGTTTCCCCTGGGGCTGTGACCTTCACCATGCTGCACCAGTTTCATTAGTTAGTAGATGTCATTCATGAAACATGAATGCCGAATTTTAGTCCAGATATTAGAAGTCGAAAACATGTCAAGAAACTAACCGGACTCGATTCCCCATTGCAGGCTCTTCCATCTCCTGGCAGCGGGGATTCTGCTGTCTTCGGTGGATGATGTCTGATTTCCTGTTTTCTGGCCGACTCTAATCCGCCAAATGATCTGCGTGCCTTGCCTGCTTGGTTTACTTCTTCTAGAGTCGATGCCCCAGGTTTCTGTTTGTGGTTTTCCGAAGCCGAAGTTCTAGCCGCTACCAAGCCGGATAATTTCGATAAGTTGGCTTTGGAGGAGAACATAGAAAGATCATCATGTGCCTTCCCGGACTTCCTAAGCACAGTGCCATTGACCAACGGGCCTGAATGTGAAATTTTCTTTTTGTTGTGCTCCGGGAAATCTCTACTTTCTTCTTTTGCAGCTGGTGTCTGTTTCAGGGGCGGAGGATCGATTAAAACACCAGAAAAGGAATCGGCTCTACCAGTATTCAGCATCTGACTCCTGCTCTTCAAACCAGGATGGTGTTGCTTTCCCTGCAATTAGAGGAGCCGGACCACCAAGCGCAAAAAAAATATATGAAACATGCTAATGTATATATGTTTTCACATGAAAATAGATCATTTTTGAATTACATCTCAAACTTATAATCCTTCAATGGAAAAGAAATTCCAGAAGAAAATGTGATCATGTTTCTTATGACTGGTATTTGAATGAGTAGCCGGTACCTAAGATGTTCTTTTTTCTTCTTAAACAATTACCTGCGTTGATGTCGTCAACTCGGTATTAGACTCGGATGTTGATAATGCAAGTGGTTCCTTTTGTCCCCTCTTTTCCATGTCAACCCTTGAACCCCTGCTACCAACTCTTTGCCTAAAGGACCATAAGAAAAAATGTTAATCTTATGAAGAAGACTTCTGAATGGTAAACTATCAAACTCAAGTACTTCTAAGGGAACAAGAAAAAACTGCCCCGTCATGTTACCGAAGATCAGTTATCGATATTTGTGATTATCAAACATAGGTACAAACTTTTAGATGACAAGGCAGACAAGTAATTTATACCAGAGACAACATAATCCATGCTGATCTTGATCTTTTAAGTTGATAAAAAATAAATTTGAGCATGTACCTTCTAGATTCTTCGTCCCGCAACTTGGCATCGATCTCCTTGCTTGGAGGATACTTGGGGAGACTTGAAGGATCACAGGCAAGAGGTTGTGTAGTAAAGAACTGACAAGAAAGGCAGAGAAAGAAAACCGGTGCAAATTCACAACAGCTAAGACCATAAAGAATTTCATGACTCAAACCAGATAAAACATGTTTTTCCATGATTGCAACACACACATCTTAGTTCCGATTTGATAAAAGAAAATTTCTCTTTTATTAAACAAATTCATCAGAGATGATTCATCATCGTGTGCTTACCTCACTCTTCAGAGCAAAAGCTGCAGTTTTTCGGTGAGCAGGATCTATTGAAAGCAAGGTCTCCATGAGAGTTGCAGTAGGAGAAGGGAAGTCTTTAAATGTTTCGGCGATACATCGTCTATACGGGTGTAGAGGCTTGAACACTGTTGAATGAGGTAGCTTTGCTCCTCTCCAGTAGTCATCGGTTGGCGAGCCACAAAGCTTGAAAATCTTATGTAATTGCTCAACCTACAAGGTGCAGAGATCTTAATTCATACCCGCCGTTTACTTGGAGTATAATATCACCTAGAGAACAATTCTTGATGGAAGAATAGCGAACAAGCACACCATACAAATATGTATCATATATCATCACGAAAACCATTTAGTAGAACATATCTGAACTGCCTTTTCTGCTAGCAAACATCAGTTTCTGCACATATACATGGCGTATACTCATCGACAACCGTCAAGTTTAATCAAATTTCAAGACAACAAAACAATACAAAAATAAAGAAAACAATCATGCACTGTTAAGCCCGGGAACAATCTACTCATTAAAATTCGAGTATTCCACTCGTGATTGCAGTACCTCTGTTTTCCCGGGCAAAATAGGTTTGCCTGAATACAGTTCCCCAAGTATGCAACCAGCACTCCATAAATCTACTGCAACCCCATAATGAGAAGCTCCTAACAAAAGTTCCGGTGGCCGATACCAAAGTGTCACCACACGACTGGTCATTGGAACACTATCGTGAGGATCAAAATGACAAGCTAATCCAAAATCTGCAATCTTTAAGATTCCGTTACTGTCAATAAGAAGATTTGAACCCTTTATGTCGCGATGAAGAACACCATGGCTATGACAGTGATCAAGTCCACTTAGAAGTTGCTGCATGTAGCATTTAATCTAACCGAAAACCGAAATGAAGTTACAAACAAACAAATGCTGAAATTAAAGAACTCTCCTATAACATCTAAATAAATTGTACAATGAGATAACAATAAAAATCATTACAAGATTACCTGAGGCTCGGGAAACTTGATCCCGGGAAGCGATGCAAGTCCCACAAGATCATGTTCCATATATTCGAAAACAAGGTATAAGCTGCACGACATCGGGGATATGATCATGCTTTCCAGTTTAATAACATTTGGATGATCAAGTCTTCGTAAGAGAACAATCTCCCTCGCCATAAACTTCACACTCTCATGGTCATGATTATTAAACTTCACTCTTTTCAGAGCCACGAGTTTATTATGAATTAGGTCACGAGCCTTATACACACTACTATATGTTCCTTGGCCAATCTGCAAGAATGAAATACTGTCATACAAAAAACCAAATGAAGAACAATGAGAATTTCATCATGGAGAATGCAATCGATATAGATGCATAGCAGCATAAGGCTGAGTTTCCAGTGTCAAACTCTATCGCCATGTACCCTACTACAATATAAAAAATTTACAGCAACATGTAAGTAGAGGATCAAGCAAAGAGAACATACTTTATCCAACTTCTCGAAGGAATTGGCCCGTCGCGGTATCCATCCCTTGATAGCTTCACCTGCCACAGCAACAAGCCAAGCAGGCCACCCTGCTGCAACCTGCTCTCCTTCTATGCTATTCAGTACCCTTTCGGAACCGGGATGATGACCGACGATCACAGCCCCACACTTTTCTACCTTATTGTTCTCTACAACCTCAAACTTATCAATGACCCTCTTCTCCTCAACATGATCGTTGTAATGAAATCGATTCGAATCACCGGATTTCTTATCGATAAACAAGACCTTCACATCACCACCACCACCACCATATTTATCCTTTGATCGAACAACTTCCTCTCTTCCCGATGAATTAGCCGGACGAACAACTTTCTCTAATGACCCTTTTCGCTTCAGCCTCTCTTGGTGGTTCTCTCGTCTATCTTCAACGGCCGCGGACTTGGAACTCATGCAACCCATGTTTCTATATTGTATACACAATCACAAGCACCAACAACTAATGACCTCCTTCAACAACCTTAATTCACCACTTAAACCAATAACACCAACGAATTCAGAAATTATTTATAATCCAATCCATTATACATCCAAAGTTGAAAAATTTGTACTACACAACCGATAAAAATCCAAGCTTTATCCTAAAAACACGTCACAGGTAGCACGAATATTGTACCTCAGACTCCGATGAATATAAATCCAATCAAAGAAACAATCAAAACCCAGAAATGTTTCAGAAGATTACATCAGTGGAGACGACATGGTACCTGGAAAGGTGTTCAGAGATTGAGGTTGAGAAACAAGAGAGAGAGAGAGAGAGAGGGAGGGAGGAAGCTTTAATTAACCGCCAAGGAAACTATGGCCGTCTTTGATTTATTTATATAAGTTATAACAATAACGCTTTAATACGTAACACTGTGTACTATTATTACTTTATATATAACAGAGACGGCTTTCACCGGCTCTGGCTAAGTCAACAGAAACCATTCCGTCTCTATCTTTATCTTTCAAAAACTAGGATTTTTTTTCCATTTGGGTTTTCTTCATTTAAAGAGATAAATACAGAGACTGAGAACAATTAAAAAGTGGAAAGCTGACTTGCTTGTTTGCGTTGAACGCCTTATGATTTTGACTACTAAATTCTTCTGTCTGGTTTTGAGCTTCTAGGTTCCACTGGTTAATTTATTTTGCTATCTCCCATAAATGATTACGTACGCCACTGCCTTGTCTTGCCAAACGATGTACGGACATAGCGATATGGTTGGGGTTTCCTACTATTTTACCAGTGGTTTATCCGATGTGGGACATGAGTTGCTTTAAAATCGCAAGGGAGAAAAAGAAGGGTTTTCTTCAATAATTGAATACGTTCGTTGTTGGCTTCTGGTTGGTGCCTTAGGGGTGTTAAAAATTATCCCACCCAGTTGATCCTACCCACCGATCAGCCGACTCGAATTATAATAAATCGGTATTTTTTTAATATCCCACCGGGTCAGGTACCCAACCCGATACTTTTCGGGTCAAGCTCAAGTCACACAATTACATTTTTTTGAGTATTTGATTACCCAAATACTCGATTATATTTATTTTTTTATATAATATAATATTACATATTTAATTATTAATAATTTATATATTAAATTAAACTAATAAATTTAAAAAAAATCCCTTGCCTACTAATTGTATGTTTAATAATTAATATAATATTTTTTAATAATATAAGTTTTATTTTTAAAAAAATTAATAATTTGAAAATGAAAAAAAATCGGATTCTCGATTACCCGAATTAAGTGCACCCGTAAAATTCGGGTACCTGAGTATCGGATAGTCACAATATTCGAGTCATGATACCGGTCGAAAAATCATATACCCGAAGATCCGGATACCCAGATTTGAACACCCCTAGTTGCCATTGGGTTAAGGGAATATTTATTTACACGTTTATATAAGTTTATTTGATGAATAAACTATTAGGGATTGTTTGGTTCAGGTAATATGAGATTATCGGGGGAATTGAATCTCATTCCCCTGTTTGGTTGGCCAACATTATCAGCCCTCGATAATCTTTTATTACGAACAGTGGTATTTTGGGGTATATTACAGAGAATGTGATTAGTCCATTCCTTAGATATTGTTGGATTACCGGCGTTTTAGACTAAAATGCCCTTAATTCTTTTTTCTTTCAAAAATATCCTTCTTCTATTGTTGAACAAAAAAAATTCTACGAATGTTAAATTATAAAATTATCGTTAAACTATTTTAGATTCACAAAAAAAAGTCCATAATTAGAATTGTATATGAAGTTCAGGGATTAAAATAAAATTTTAACATTTCATTAAACCTATTTATCTTTTTAATTTTGTAAAAAATTATATAAATTTTATGAATTTAATTTTTTTTTAAAGAAAATATATAAATTAATTATAGTAGAATTTATCTTGTTAAAAAAACAAATATATAATAAGGACAATTTGATAAAATATACATTCCAATAATCTTTTATTCCTTTAACCAAACACGGTAATCTTATATTCATGCTAAACCAACCAAACACAAAATACAACATTCCTAATAATGTTATTCCTATCGGTAATCTCATTCCCACTGGTAATCTTATATTCCGTGAACCAAATACACTCTTAAAGTTTTTTTATCAAATATGTATTATGACATATGAACTTTTTTTATGGGTATGTATGGCATATAAAAGATAAGTCATAATGGATCAACTATATTTTCCAGCACCATCGTTATTAATTTTGTTGGACACTCATTAGATATTCACAAGTTTATTAACATTCCATTGGTGCCAGTGCATCCGCAATGGTTCTTGAATGATATGAAAGAACATGTGGAAAATAAAAATGAAGTGGTGTGTTGGCAATCCCTTTAACTTCCATGGTAGCACCTAGAATGTTCAAGATAACCTTAAGAGTTAAGAATGAAAATTAAACATGTGTAGAATTGAAATTGATGATGAAAGCAATACTTGGAAACAACAAATTAGATACATAATGGAGAATAATTGAGGTGGCAAAAGAGATAACATTTTAGCATGAAATTTCACCAAGAAAAGAAAATTTGAGGATGTTAAGAATTTCCTATAAAAAGGCTTAGATGATTGAAATTAGAAGTTGTAATGTATGAGTGAAAGGAAAAAAATAAGAGAAATAGGGATGAGAGCTTAGTAATGCCTTTAGTTTGTGGTATTTGTAAACTAGTCGAAGCTAGTGTCGTGTTCGTGTGTGTCATATAATATCATATTTTGTTCATATTAATAATATCGTATGAGTTATAAAGTTTATCAAGTGCCCACTTACGCTTCCAACAAGTGGTATCTAGAGCTTGTTTCGAGATTTACACAACGGTGAAGATGACCAACATGATTCAACCACAAATCCTAAAATTGACAAAGACAAACTATGGAAATTGGAGTATTCAAATGAAAGCGTTACTCGGTTCCCAAGATTGTTGGGATATCGTTTAGGAAGGTTATGTTGAACCCAAAAATGTAGTAGTAGAAGCAACTTTGACCAATAAAGAGAACAAGTACTAAAAGAATCCCATAAGAAAGACAAGATGATGTTATTTTTATTTTTTAAGGAGTAAAAGAATCTACCTTTGAAAAACTCTCAGATGCGAATACTACAAAGCAGACTTGGAAGATTTTACAAAAATTTCTTCAAGGTATAGAAAAAGCAAAAAGTACATTTACAATCACTTAGAGATGAATTTGAAATACTAAAAATGAAAAATACAAAAAAAGTATCGATGATTGTGTAACACCCTAAACCCGATTGGGCCTAAAGTTGTGGATTCGTGAGTTGGCCATACCCTAAAGTATAAAGTCGCGATCAAAAAGCAATCTTTTTCCGGGAAAGGGTGATGGCTTTTTAGAGCAAATTCCAAGTCGTCTCGAGATCACACCATTTGGGGAAAACAAGATGAGTTGCTTTTTTAGGTTTATGCTTGGAAAGAAGGTAGAGACTATGAGGAGACTTTTGCACAGCATCAAAACAAAACCAGAGTTCCGTGACACATAATTTAAAACCAAAATAATTCAACTCTGAGTTTAATAAACTGAATACATAAGTAAAGTTCTATGAATAAATATGCCCACTAAGCTACGGCACAATACTCTGAAGGAGATGCTTGAAGTCCTACTACGACGGTGCTCAATGAACTGCTCATGCTACTAACCTACCAACGAAAAATATCCGAAGACTGAGCTTACAAAGCCCAGCAATAAGAATTTCATAAAGCAGTAGGTACGTGCATGATCTATATCAAGTATTATCTATTTAAGGCTTAGTTGTCATGTCTCTGAAATGGGGGTCTCATGCTTCCTTAATCCTCTACCAAGGGTTTAGCCATGAGTACACCTCTAAAGGTTTTTAACTTTGATGTTTGCATCTGATGTGCATTGTCTAATACGATATTGGCTCTACTGTACATTCTTTGAATGGCATGCTAACTCTGATGTGCATTATTTGAATGTAATACTGACTCTGTTGTGACTCATACACTAGCTAAGATAGGCATCATGGTACGACTGAGGGGTTGCTTCTAGGAGCTCATGCACCCCTCTATCATACCAAATACTAATATATGATACACAACAACAAACATAAAGTTGTGTAAGGCATCATGGTACGGCTGAAGGGTTGCATCTCAATGCTCACATACCCCTCTAACCTATCAATATACCCTTGGGTACACCATGGTAATATCCAGAATCTGCATTGGAAATGTACACCCACCAACTTACTCCGTCGAGTCGTGGTGCATATGTATCCAGTTGGAAAAAGAAGTGCCTTGGCAATGGCTGGATGTACTGACACACACAAAAGATAATCACCCTACTGCTAAAGTTACTCAGGTGTCCTGGTTGTTTCCTGAGTATCACACAAAGGCTAGTTTTATGACTTCCAAATTGTATTGTTTCTAGTTATTACTGTTACTGTTTCTGGCTGTTATTGTTTCTATTTCATGACATTATCTCACTTTTTCTCTCATCTAGAACGTTATGAGAGGGTTAATTAATCTGTTACTACTGATAATCTATATTGATTTGGCTATACGCTAACTCGGGTTCATTTCTAGGTAGCGATACTCTATTTGCTATTACTACACTTTCCCCTTAATTCGCCATCGAATTAAAGAAGTATATATGGGTCCAACACCCTATTTCATTCTTGTGGTATACGACATTGTTGTCTCATACTCTGACTACTTGGTTATACCTCTCGTCGGTATACCCTGTGCACTGATCCTTTATCCATAAATATTTATCGTGTGCTTATTCAATATGCTTGGACGCCTTACGCCTACTATGATTACACTGGTTGTAACCCACTTCTAATAGTGTCTCTGGGCCCTTTTGGCCAATTACGTACTCCACAGACTAAGTTTTATCCATACATACCATCATGTACTCTTATAGACCTTAATGGGGTTAAGTATCAATACCCTAGGGTTAAGTATCGATACTCTTATGAGCATCGGTACTAAAACTGCATTTTATTATGAAAATCCACTCAGTATCGATACTGCTACCCTGAGTATCGATTCTAGAAGAATAATATCGATACTCACCTAAGTAGTATCGATACTCCCCTCTAAAAACCCCAAATTTAGCCTCAATTTAACGAGTGTCGATACTCAAACTATGAAACTAGTAATTTAGGCTCATAAAACACCTAAAAAACATTCTAAATGACTCGATCTAGTTTCTAATCTTGCTATAAAGTTTTAGTAAGTTGTTTATGGTCTTAAGGTGTCTTAAAAATACATCATTAACACCTAAAATGTGGTTTGATCATGAAATCAAAGGTAAACTCTAAACATGCTCAAATATCCAAATCCT